AAAATTTCTACACCCTACCACCCCCAGACTAATGGGCAAACTGAGATTTCAAATAGGGAGATCAACAGGATCTTAGAGAAGATTGTGCAGCCCAATAGGAAAGATTGGAGCAATAGGCTAGAGGATGCTCTCTGGGCACATAGGACTGCTTACAAAGCACCCATAGGAATGTCTCCTTATCGTGTTGTCTTTGGCAAGGCATGTCATTTACTTGTGGAGATAGAGCATCGAGCATACTAGGCTATGAAGACCTGCAACTTCTCTATTGATCAAGCGGAAGAGGAAAGAAAGTTGCAATTGAGTGAGCTTGATGAGATCCGTCTACACCCTACCACCCCCAGACTAATGGGCAAACTGAGATTTCAAATAGGGAGATCAACAGGATCTTAGAGAAGATTGTGCAGCCCAATAGGAAAGATTGGAGCAATAGGCTAGAGGATGCTCTCTGGGCACATAGGACTGCTTACAAAGCACCCATAGGAATGTCTCCTTATCGTGTTGTCTTTGGCAAGGCATGTCATTTACTTGTGGAGATAGAGCATCGAGCATACTAGGCTATGAAGACCTGCAAAAGATTGGAGCAATAGGCTAGAGGATGCTCTCTGGGCACATAGGACTGCTTACAAAGCACCCATAGGAATGTCTCCTTATCGTGTTGTCTTTGGCAAGGCATGTCATTTACTTGTGGAGATAGAGCATCGAGCATACTAGGCTATGAAGACCTGCAACTTCTCTATTGATCAAGCGGAAGAGGAAAGAAAGTTGCAATTGAGTGAGCTTGATGAGATCCGCCGTGAAGCCTATGAGAACTCTAAGTTCTATAAGGAGAAAACCAAGAAGTTCCATGACAGCTTGATAGCTAGGAAGGACTTCGTGGTTGGTCAGAAAGTTCTCTTGTACAATTCTCGGCTTGGACTCATGGGTGGTAAGTTACGTTCTAAGTGGATTGGACCTTTTGTTGTTACTAATGTTTTTCCTTATGGTATAGTTGAGGTCAAAAGTGAATCCACAGACAAGAGCTTCAAAGTTAATGGGCACCGTCTGAAGCCTTTCCTCAGCAATCCATCCTTGTTGAATGCAGTTGAAGAGGAGATGTCTCTGCTCGACCCCGCTACTCTCCCACCATGACTTAGGGAGTTTTCTTTCCCCCTCTCCTTCTTTACTTTTATTGCACTTGTCCAGATTTATTGATTGTTCTGATTGCTCTGATCTTCTGTTTGGGCCACATTGGGACAATGTGTGATTTAAGTGTGGGGGGAACTATTTTGGTTACATGCTTTTTAGGGTTTATTTTTTATTTTAGGTGTTATTTTAGGTTTTATGTTTATGTGTTCTGTGCAGTTTTGCATGTTTCTCTTTGATTTCTGGGTATTGATAGTTTGTAGGCACTTACTTCATTCTTGGATAGGAGTTTCTTGATACTATATGGTTTGAAATCCCTGTTTTTCTTTGCTTGGAAAGATGATTTTGAGGTTTGAGAGGTTGTTTTAATTGTAACAAATATACCCTGTGTGAGGATTTGAGCCACTCTCTGTTCTCTCTTGTGTGTTATGCCTTTTGATTGCTTGCACAGTTGCCTTGTCTTGACTCTGTTTGATACTTCTTGATTCACATGCATGTTTGGATATGATTAAGGCATTTTTGTTCTGATAAGCCTCTGGCCAAATAAGCCTACCTTGAATTAACTCCTCTGATAACCCCTGTTGAGCCTACTTCCCCTTCTTTGTTTGAAGCTCATTACAAGCCTTAAGCGAAAAACCATGATTACCTTAACCTTAGGGAGTTTTGGAGCTTTGGAATTGTTTTGGGAATAAGTTCTTGAATAAGTGTGGGGGTGTGTGTATGTTTCATTGGATGATGTATATTGGCTAGTTGATTTCTTATGCTGTACACTTTACTTCTCTGCATGTTATCTTATCTCATTTAAAAAATTTCGTGTGTACTATTCACTACGTACTGTTCGTTTAAAAAAAATGAAAAAGAAAAGTTGTTTGAGGCAAGAGAAAGAGGATTGATCATCATAGAGGTCATTAGAGGTTTCTGGGTTTGTTTCTTGTGCGTATTCTTGACTTATTCCCCATTGCTCCTCTAGTTCCTCTGGTTTGTAGTTACATATCCCATATATTATCCTCTACCCTGTCCTTGGCCTCATTACAACCCTGAAAAGACCTTTTGATCCTTATGTGCATGTTTGTTGGATGTTGATTTTAGAGGCTTGCCAAGTCTATCTGTTGCTTGTCTTCATGAGTGCTTTGAGAGTATACAGTTGCCTAGACACTTGAGAGATACAGTGATACCATGCATCTAGTGAGGCTCTGTTGCTTTTGATTCACCTCTTGAGCTGATTGATTGTTTTGCCATGTTTTGAAATGCTTGGATGATTTCCATAAGTATCTGGTTTCTCTGACTCTTTGCGTGTTGGATGTTGTCTACTCCTTTTCTTTTCTCAGGATTCATTGAGGATTGTGTAAATCTGTTTGTTTTCTTGTTTGTATTCTTGTCTCTGTTTCCTCCTGTTGTGTCACTCTGTTTGTTGTGTTTGAATTATTCCTTGCTCTACTTTTTGATTTTGCCCAGGAGTGCAAAAGGCTAAGTGTGGGGGAATTTGATGAGTCATTATTTTCCTCTATTTTCATACCTTTCTGTACTTATTTTAATCTCTGATTTGCGCTTAATTGTTGATTATCTGCACTATTTTCTATTTGGGCTTTAATTGGATCGGTAATTCATATTTTAACTAATTTGAATTTTCTGAATCTAATTATTCCAAATTTTTATTTTCAGGGCAGTTTAATAATTAATTGGGCTTGGAATTAATTTCTGGACTTCAAGTGGAGTTGCCACATCATCTGCCACATCATCTGCCATGTCACCACTGCACCATTTTCCACCTCAGCATTTAATTTCATTTTGTATTCTGTTTTATTGTAATTTTTCGGGTCAAACCTGACTTGGGGCCCATTTTGACTCTTCTAGGTTTTATTTAGGGTTTTAGGGCAGCCACTAGGGGGATATTCTGATGTGACCACGTAGCTGGCTGTCTGCTCTTGGGTTATTCACGTTTTCTCTCATGTAGCTACAATCTGGACGTTTTGGTTTTCCCTGTTGCTTTCTTTTACATTTTTGTTCTCTTTGAGCTGCCATTTTCGTTCTTCTCTTGCCTTCTCTGGTTGTGGAACTTGAATATTTACATTTGAAGAATTCATTGCATTTTTGTTTTCTTTCTCTTCTCTGCCTTGCATTTTTTATTTCTTTCTCTTCTCTACCTTGTATTTTCGTTTGTATTTCCGTTTTATTGGAAGGCTAAAAACCCTTGGGGTTGGTTCCTTGAGCAGATTGCAATATCTATTTGAGGTTTTATTTGTATTTGAATCTGTGTTCTACTTGGTTCTTCTTCATTGAACCTCTGAAACGTTTTCGGTTTTGATAGCTGATCATGCTTAATGAATCAGGTTGCTCACAAGTTGCTTAATCTTGTGGGGAGGTTTAATGTTGAATACGTTTGCTTAATTCGTGTAGGGAAATACTCGGATGGAACAAGGATTAATTTATGAACAGAGAAATGTTCTGAGAACTAGGGATAAAAGAGTTGCAATCTGAGCAAGGAACCAATCCGTTTTACTTACTATTTTATTTCGTATTATTGTGTTACCAACTGAAAATCCGAAAACAAACCCCCCTGTGTGTTTAAGCCTTTAGCAGTAAAAGACGGTCCTCGGCAGACGACCTAGGAGTCACTTCCTAGTACTACATTTAATTGTATTTATTTGACCGGATACGGCTTCGATCATACATGGTGCTACTATTTTCTCTAAAATTGATCTTAAAATTGGTTATCACTAAATAAGAATCAAAGAGGGTGATGAGTGGAAAACTGCTTTTAAGACCAAATTTGGATTGTATGAGTGGCTAGTTATACCTTTTGGTATAACCAATGCACCAAGTACATTCATGAGGCTAATGAATCATGTCTTGAGAGAGTGTATAGGAAAAATTGTTGTTGTTTATTTTGATGATATTCTAATCTATAGTAGGTCTCAGGATGATCACATAGGACATCTTAGAGAAGTTTTGATGCTCCTTAGGCAAAACCACTTATTTGCTAATGTTGAAAAATGTACTTTTTGTGTGGATCACGTGGTTTTCCTAGGGTTCATTGTGAGTAAAGAAAAGGTTCGTGTAGACCCCGAGAAAATCAAAGTTATTCAAGAGTGGCCCAAACCAAAGAATGTTAGTGAAGTTAGGAGTTTTCATGGACTTGCAAGTTTTTATAGAAGATTTGTCCCTAACTTCTCTAGCATTGCGTCACCCTTGAATGAGCTTGTTAAAAAAGATGTTTCCTTTGAATGGACTTCAAAGCATGATCATGCATTTCAACTTCTAAAAGAGCAACTTACAAATGCACCCATACTAGCTTTGCCTAATTTTGAAAAGACTTTTGAGCTAGAATGTGATGCATCTAGAGTTGGCATAGGAGCTGTGTTATTGCAAGGAGGACACCCCATTGCATATTTTAGTGAAAAACTAAAAGGTGCCACCCTGAATTACCCTACCTATGACAAGGAGTTGTATGCATTAGTTAGGGCTTTACAAACTTGGGAACACTATCTAGTGTCCAAAGAGTTTGTCATCCATAATGACCATGAGTCACTCAAATATTTAAGGGGTCAAGGAAAGTTAAATAAGACGCATGCCAAATGGCTAGAATTCCTTGAACAATTTCCATATATTATTAAATTCAAGAAGGGAAAATCAAATGTTGTGGCTGATGCATTATCTAGAAGGCATGCCTTGCTTATGTCTCTAGGTACTCAAATTCTTGGATTTGATAATATTAGGGAATTGTATGAGAAATATCTTGAGTTTGGTGTTAATTATCAAAAATGCCAACAAAAAGCTTTTGAGGGTTTCTATATGGCTGAGGGGTATTTGTACAAAGAAGGAAGATTATGTATACCCCAAGGATCCATTAGGAAACTATTGATTAAAGAGAGTCATGAAGGTGGGCTTATGGGGCACTTTGGTGTTGATAAAACCCTTAGTTTGCTTAAAGAAAAATTTTATTGGCCCCATATGCGAAAGGATGTCCAAAAGCATTGCTTTAGATGTTTGGCTTGTTTACAAGCCAAGTCCAAAGTGATGCCTCATGGTACATACACACCTTTACCTGTTGCTTCATCCCCTTGGGTAGATATTAGCATGGACTTTGTGCTAGGTTTACCTAGAACCCAAAGGGGAATGGATTCTATCTTTGTGGTTGTGGACCGTTTTAGTAAAATGGCTCATTTCATTCCATGCTACAAAGTAGATGATGCAAGAAACATTGCAAAACTCTTCTTTAGAGATGTGGTTAAACTCCATGGACTTCCTAAGTCTATAGTTTTAGATAGAGATACCAAGTTTCTAAGCCATTTTTGGCGTATCTTATGGTCAAGACTAGGAACTAAACTCCTCTTTTCAACTACTTGCCATCCTCAAACAGATGGACAAACTGAGGTAGTTAATAGATCTTTGTCAACTATGCTTAGGGTAGTCCTAAAAGCCAATCACAAATCTTGGGATGAGTATTTTCCACATATTGAATTTGCCTACAATAGGGTAGTTCACAAAACTACCAATATTTCTCCTTTTGAAGCTGTGTATGGGTTTAATCCTTTAACTCCTTTGGACTTGATACCCCTTCCTAATGTTGAACATTTCATTCATAAGGAAGGTGCTTCAAGAGCTAAATTTGTTAAGAAAATACATGAAAGGATTAAAACTCATATCCAACTCCAAAATGAGAAGTATGCTAAATAAAACAATAAAGGAAAAAGAACTATGATCTTCGAGGAAGGTGATTGGGTTTGCCTTCATCTAAGAAAATAACGTTTTCCTAAACAAAAGAAGTCCAAACTTAGTCCTAGAGGAGATGGTCCCTTTCAGGTCTTACAACGTAGCAATGATAAAGCTTATAGGCTTGATTTACCCTCTGATTATGGAGTTAGCCCTACTTTTAATGTGAGTGATCTAAAACCTTTTGTAGGAGCTAGTGATGATGAGGAGGAGTCTTCAGATTCGAGGACGAATCCTTTTCAAGAGGGAGGCAATGATGGAAGAGCATGGACCAAGGGTCCAACCACTAGAGC